ACTCAGGGGTTATCACCCACGCCCTCTCCCGAACTTTACCCTCACTCGTGTTAGGGTCTGTCCCCTCCCTCCATCCCCTCACACCCTTCCCAGGTTTGTGAGATATGGAGAAGTAAATCCCCCTTGAGCCACCCCCTTTCCTTCCCCCAGCCCATTCGGCCCCTTCAGCCTGTTCTGCCATTCAATTAGATCACAGCTGATCTGTATGGATCCATTTCAGACACAGTCTTTGTAATGTAAAAGCTTCCATGAGAGAACTTTTCAATGAACGGCGTGGCTTCACTCCGTCTAAAGGTTAAAGTCACAATTTTTGGATTGTCCAAACCAATTTCACTTCACGGTGCTGTCGTCTTTCTGCTAATCAAGGGCCAGATTGCCCATTGATGTTTGTACCCTGGGTTTATGATAACAGAGGGATTCACAACAGCAACAATGTACATTTATGTAGCACCTCTAATGTAGTCAACCTTTCTGAACCCAGAGATTTCCATCCATCAGGTTTATCAGACTGCGGAATATGCTTAACCAGAGCTTGTGATGAATTGCTCCCCAAACCCCCCGAAAGCATCGAATTAAAAGAAAATCTGTTGCTATTAATAACAAGACTCTACCCGTCGAGCAATTTTAAGAGAGATTGCAAATAAACTATTTTGTACAAAGAAACATCACAGCTGCTGCAGCAACGTTCATACTGGCGAAAGTAAAACAAAGAAGTGGGGCTCTAAACCTGAAACAAGAACTGAAATTGCGGGAGAAACTCAGCGGGTCTGGCAGCATCTGTGGAGAGGGAAACAGGGTTAACGTTTCCCTTCTTCAGAACAGCATAAAAGGTACACATCTCAGTGTTGCCGGCACAGCAAGTGACCCCAATCTGTTGTCCTGTACTGCAATCCTCTACTCATGAGGAAGAAACCCCGGACTACACAAAACTTCACTTTTGTCCAGAAGTGACCAATTCATGGTAAAGGTGGTGTCAGAAATGAGATTTCTATCTGAAATACTGAGCTGCTGTTTTCACTTTAAAGAAAACAAAATACGTTTGTTTGTTTTGAGAAGCAAATGTTACAGCAAAACAGTGTTTGTTGTTTACTCACTTGCTTGTGGCTGCGAGGTAACGTGCCCCCGGAGTAAGCGAGGGTCTTGTAAAGTTCGGAGGTCTTGCAAGTTTCAGCGCTAGTTTTGTAAGTTTCAGCGCCGCTTTTGTAAATATCACTGTCTGCACCGGTGCACTCGGCGCTGCCGTAATCCTCCTTACGGCTCAACTTTTTCACTCTTCGGAAAGTCATTTTCCTGCGATGGTCATCCTCCGCTGCACCCGACCCCGGCACACCTCCTCAAACTGGATACAAACGAACAACGAAGTCTGTCCCAAAGTGGAAGCTGTTCCCTGACACAACGGTTTATTAAAGCGTCTAGACGGATGCTGCAGTCCCCACCCCCCACCCCTTCTGCCGCACGTGGTCGAGGTGTGGTTACAGTTTCATTTCCCCCCCCAGATAAGAATCTGCAAACAACAAAAAGCTTTCAAATTCTTATTAAGACTCACTCCCGACCCCTCCTGATGAAGCCTGCCAGATAAATCCGTTTTCTAGACCTGAATATCCCAGTTTGTCATCGACGTTGTAACGCTGCATTTGCACAGGACAGTGCGTTTGGTAAATCGAATTGTCAGATAACATCCCCTCGATCCATCAATAAGTCCTTTACATAGTTTGATCTATTAATTCAGGGAATGTGGCCTTTGGA